ATTAGCTCCCCATTTACACCCAACCATTCCCTACTATAACTCTAAACTAAAAAAAGAAAAAGGAAAAAACCACACTGCCATCAAATGGATGACCCCACATATTGACCAATAGGGCAAGATGGACTGTAATTCTGCGAGAGTCAAAAACGCTGTTTTTCTGTCCCAGAATGGCTGGTGTTTTCAATCTTCTGACCCTGTATAAGTATCATACACCAGGGCTCCCCTTAAACTTAAACAGCTAGTAATCTTGATACTTACTCTCTCTGTAGGTTATCTATCCAATAAGAAAAATCATACCAATAGAACCCAATGGCAAGTTATGAAAATTTATTCTAAAAGAGAGCAGACAATAATAGAAACTAGGACAAATTAAAAATGTTTAAAAAGGAAAACAAATGATGACATGCTAATTTTTAACCTAACTACATCCATGGGAGAAAGTCTGGGTTTTCTATTCCCTTAACAGTTGCAGCCTCAGAAACCCACTGTGGGTCACTATGAGTCAACATTGACTCCATGGCAGTGAATTTGATTTGATATATTTAATTATACACTTTTCAGTGTACTCTGTGGGCCAGCTTATTTGCATCTATAGTCAAAGGTGTGGTGGCATATTGGTTTATGCGTGGGGCTGCTAACCACAATTTCGAAAATTGTAAACCATCAGCCACTGAAGGGAAGAAATATGAGGCTTTGTCCTGCCCTAAAGAGTTACAGCCTCAGACACTCACAGAGGAGGTTCTACCTTGCCCTATGTGGTCACCGTTAGTCTAACTGACTCAACAAAAGTGAAATTGGTTTTGAGTCAACGGTCTGAGGGAATGTAATGGAGCACCCACATAAAAGAGCACCAAAGAGAAATGCAAGTGTTAAGGGACAAGTTAACAGAAGCAAATAACAAGCTAACTGGCTTTAAGAACAGATTAGAAGAAGCTGAGAATCCTCTTAATGACCCTGAGGATAACCAGGCAGACTCCAACAAATGGGAAAGACAGTCATAGGAGATAATCAAAGAAACTGAAGAGCACCTGAGAATAATGGTGGATGTTATGAAGAGGAGCAACATTATAATAGTTAGATTGCCATAATAAGACATACCAAAGAAGTCAACAGCAAAAATTGAGAGGGAATTTCTAGAGGAAAATTTCCCCAGCTTAATAAAGAGAATCAGACACCCATCCAGGAAGCAGAGAAGACACCAGCTAAACTGAAGCCAAAGAAGAATTCAACAAGGCCCATAATAGTCAAACTATTTGACTATTTGAAGTAAAGGAGAACCTTATGAGTGAGGGGGGAAAGGCAGTCACCTATTAAGGAACACAAACAAGAATATTCTGAGACTTATAATCAGACTCTATGAAAAAGGGAAGAGAGTTGAGTACCATCATCCAAAAGTTGAGAGAAATAATGCATACCAAAGAATCCTCTATCCAGCCAAAGTATCTATCAAGATAGATGGCGATGTAAAAGTCTTCCAGGGCAAGGAAAAACTTAAAGATTAAAAGAAACCCAGCTGTACAAAAAATCTGTGCCAACCCAGTGTGATCAGAACAATACCCACCAAGCACAAACAGGAGACCACCACAGAGGGCAACTCCACCCAGAGGTCAACACATTGAAAACATCAATGGTGAATAAAAGGCAAGAAGGAAGCAAACGCTTATTTGCACAATGCACTGAAAAGAAGGGAGGTAATAAAGTACCCAACACAAAAGGTACGGGATGACATCATAGTCCACTGATGGATGTTATAACTCTGAGTATCCATGGTCTGAACTCACCCATTAAAAGACAGACCCTATTGAACTGACTTAGAAAGCAGAGCCTGTTGATCTGCTGCTTACAAGAGACACATCTCAAGCTTGCAGACACAAATGGGCTGAGAATCAAAGGCTGGGGGAAAGTCAACCAAACAAATGGCAATTCAAAAAAAGCAGGGTTTGCAATCTTAATCGCTGACAAAATCGAACTCAAGGTACAAGCTACAACAAGAGATAAGGAGGGGCACTATGTAATGCTCAAGGGATCAGTAGACTAAGAACCAGTGAGCATAATAAACATTCATGCACCTAAGGAGAGACACCTGAACTTTTTCAATCAAATTCTCCAAAGATTAAAACAGAAAGCAAAGTCTCAAAAACCATAGTAGGTGACTTTAATATACCACTCTCTGAGAGATAGACATCACGGAGAAAGAAGCTTAATAAGGGAGCTACAGAACTAAACTCAATTAAGTGACTTGAACTGATAGACATTTTCAGAGGTCTCCACCCAAAGGAAAAAACATTCACATTCTTCTTAAGCCCAAATGACATATATTCTAAGATAGACCAAGAGCTGGGACACAAGTTGAGCCTATGCAAATTTAAGCAAATAGAGGTCACCCAGAGGGAAAGCATATAGAGGTCACACAGACTTCCCTCTCATATCACTACACAATAAGGCTGGAAATCAAGAAAAGGAGGATTAAAAAAACAAGAGAAAACAATTGGAGGTTGAATAACTCTACTGCAAAATGAATGGGTAATGACCCAGACCAGAGATGAAATCAGGAAATTTCGAGAATCCAATGAGAATGAGGATATGACATACAAAAACGTTTGGAATATAGTAAAGGCATTTATCAGAGGAAGTTTGATAGCAATAAATGCACACATGAACAGGAGAAACTAGCGATTGATATGCTGACATAATACTACCAGCAATTAGAGAGGAAGCAACAGGACAATTGTATGAATAGCAAAAGGGAACAGAAATAACAAAAATTAGAAAAGAAATAAAAGGGAGGGGAAAGAAGAAAATAACGCAAAAAAGCAATGCAGCAAAATGTTGGTTTTTTGCACGGATTAACACTATTGATAGCCCACTGGAAGTACAGCCAGAAACTAGGAGAAACTAGGAGGGTGAGACTTCATCTCCCATATTTTGCATCGCCTGGAGCAGCCATCCAAAGCTATTTTAGAAACGCAGTCAGGAGAGACTAAACCCTGGAAAAGGACATCATGCTTGGTAAGGGGTCAGCGAAAAGGAAAACCTTTAAGAAGGGTGATTGAAACAGTGGCTGTAATAATGGAGTCAAAACTAACACCAATTATGAGAATAGTGCAGGATAGGGCAGTGTTTTGTTCTATTGCATATAGTCACTATGTACAACAATATCCAACTTTTCCTAAGAAGAACTTAAAATCCTGGACATAATGTCTGGAATATATTGACATGTTGAATTTTGAGATTCAAAAATTAATATAAAACCATAGAAAACCCACTGCCATCAATTCTAGTCTGACTCATGAAGACTCTACACCGGGTGCCCGGGGCTGTACATCTTTACAGTAGCAGATAGCCTCAGTTTTCTCAGTGTCACTATTGGATATGAACCATTAAACTGGAGGCTAGAGGCTCAATGCTTACCTGGCAGAACCCTCAAAGAACCACATGGCAGTTAGTTCTTTGGCTTTTCTTTGTATCTCTGGTATATCCTGAATTTAGTATTGGAGAATATTGCAATGTAGAATTGAGGTCCTGTTCAGGATACAAACTTTTTTGTATTGATACAAAGTTTTGATACAAACTTTCATTCTTTAACCAAAGTCTCTGGGAAGGAGCACTCTTGAAATAGAAACTTGGTCAGTGGCTCAAGCCCAATGAAACTGTTGATGTGTGTACTCATTTATAGTCCAGGAAATTTTACAGGGGGTTCCTATGACTTGAGGTCAATTTAATGGCAGTGGGCTTGGAGAAGTGCGAATGAATTGGTCCAAATCTAGAAGATTGCCATAGGAAGAGAAAACTCATTTCCTTTTCCTCTCCCATGATTATCAGACCCCTAAACAGTTTGCACTTCCAATCACAAGCAAGATAAGAAGGCACCTATTCTCTTTCCATGGTGCCAGTGACAGCACGTGGGGAGCCTCGGTACTACCGCATTGTAGTGGTGGAGGTCACCGCATTGTAGTGGTGGAGGTCTTTAAAGACGTCAGATTTAAATAATATTCACTTTGGGAGGAAATATGATATCTCAAAGTGCTGGATACATTTGAAAACCACTCCTAGTCTCAAGAATTGGGAAAATCTGAAAAGAGGAAACACAACTAACAGATCGCCAATACTCAGATTACTTAGACATTGAAATTAGTTGACAACTTTTAAAGTTTAAGGGGGATGATGAACTTGAAAAAATAAGAGCATGGTTAATTTTTAATTCATTGGAATTCATAAAATTGATTCAAGACCACAGGTGAGTGAATCTAAAAGCTGATGGTAAAGTAATGTATATTTTCTCATTAAAAATTTAATAAAAACAAATAAAGAAAGAAGATCAGACTTTTAGGTTCTGTGGGAAGAAAAAAGATTAGGAGTTCCATAAAAAGAGAATAGTGTGAAGCTGAAAAACTAATATAAATGTAATAGCTATATATTTTTCCAAATTAGCCCTAAAACATACACTTGCATATTAGCTGAACTCCAGTCAAGTGAAACCCAGAGGAACGTACATCAAGACACCATAATCAAATAATGAAAATAAAGGAAGAGAAAGAAGTCTTGGAAGCAGCTAGAAAGAATGGATGCAGAAGACTGTTCCCTGAAAGATTTACAGTCTCAGAAAACCCTATGTAAATCTGCAGTGAGACAGAATGAAGTGCCCGACAGTGGGGAATGAGACACAAGGATTCAAATGACAGTGGATTTTTCATCTGCAATCCATGGAGATCAGAATGTAGTGATCAAACATTTTTTCAAAATCAGAAAAAAAAGGAAATGTTAACCACAGATGTGTATAGACCAAACACCATCCTCCAGACCAGTGGAGTGGTACAGCCATTCTCAAAGGACAAGGAAAAGAACTTGTCTCCAGCAAACCCATATTCAGTAAATAGTAAAATTAATTTCATAACACAAAGAGAATTGAAAAATGAAAGAAAGACAGAAAACAATGGGGGTGATTAAAAATCACAGGGGTAAATATAGTAGACAAATATTTAAGAACTAATAGATTTTACCTTTGCACTGAGGTGGTTCTGTCCAGGTTCCATTCATGCACATCACTTCTACCTCTCCATAG